GTTATGGAGGTTGAATCCTGACACGACAGAAGTGCTGTTTCTGGCGGACGGGTTGGGGAGTTGGGAATCCCTGGTCCTTTGTGGGGTAATGGTGGCCTTGAAGGACCAGGTGCGCAGCCTGGGGGTCATTTTGGACTCACCACTGTCCAGGGAGGCGCAGGTCAGTTCTGCATCCAGGGCAGCTGTCTCCCAGCTCCATCTGGTATGCAGGCTGAGACCAGACTGTCTCGCCAGAGTGGTGCATGCTCTGGTTATCTCCCACTTGGACTGCTGCAATGTGCTCTACGTGGGGCTGCCTTGGAAGGTGACCCAGAAACTACAACTAATCCAGAATGTGGCAGCTAGACTGGGGACTGGGAACAGCTGCCGGGACCATATAACTCCGGTCCTAAAGGATCTTCACTGACTCCCAGTACGTTTCCGAGCACCATTCAAAGTGTTGGTACAGTGGTACCTCTGGTTGCGAACGGGATCCGTTCCGGAGGCCCGTTCGCAACATGAAAAGAGCGCAACCTGAAGCACCGTATCTGCGCATGTGCGCGGCACGATTTGGCGCTTGTGCGCATGCATGAAGCGCAATTTAGTACTTATGTGCATGCGCGAGCTGCGAAACCCGGACGTAACCCTTTCCGGTACTTCTGGGTTGCTGCGGGACGTAACCTGAAAGAACGTAACATGAAGCAAACGTAACATGAGGTATGACTGTACAGTGGTACCTCGGGTTACAGACTCTTCAGGTTACAGGTGCTTCAGGTTACAGACTCCGCTAACCCAGAAATAGTACCTTGGGTTAAGAACTTTGCTTCAGAATGAGAAGAGAAATTGTGCTCCGGCGGTGCGGAAAGATTGGAAAATGTTTATTGAATATATGGGGGGAAATTATGTACACTTGAAAATGTTGGCAGCATTAAGATAAATTCAGCAGTGTAAATAAGTTTTGATGGGTGTAATAATGGAATACTAAATGGTTTAGTTTATGTAAAACATGCAAGGATTTATGATATGCAAAATGAATCCTGGAAAGAGAAGAAGGGAAGTCACTGACATTTTAAGGATGTTTGAATGAGTATTCTAAATTGCAAAACAGAAAATTTAATAAAAATTATATTAAAAAAAGAAGAAAGAAAAACCTAAAGGGCCTCGGTCCTGTATGCTTGAAGGAGCATCTCTGCCCCCATTGTTCAGCCTGGACACTGAGGTCCAGCACTGAGGGCCTTCTGCTGCACAAATAATTAAAAAATTAACTATTAATACGTTAGCCGTTTGCCCTACAGAGCTACTGGAGATCTGGATCCCAGGTGGGACCAAAGGCTTCCTCTCCCTTTGGCCGACTCTTCCATTTAAAAGACAACAGGTCCTCTTTGCTCCTTCGTCGTTCAACCTGATTGCACGTTGCTCTCTCACAGTTCCTTTGTTCATTCATTTATCTATTTCATAAAACGTACACATCACTTGATTGTAAAAAGAAAAAAAAGGAAAGAAACCTTAAAGTTTAGATAAACCAATGAGGGGAAATGGAAAACAGCGAAGAGCAATGAGAGAGGGTACAGCTGGTCAACTCAGCTGTGACCTGAAGTGTCGCATGCGCTGCAACATTCAGTTGCAGCATCAACTGGATTGTGCTTAATGGCATTGTCAGCCTACATAACTGAACCTTAAACAAAAGTCTTCAAAGTGGAGATATATATACTAGAGCTGAGCCAACTGCCTGCAATGCAGGGATCTTTTGCCCAAGGTGGGGCTCGAACCCACAACCCCGAGATTAAGAGTCTCATGCTCTACCAACAAAGCTGCGTTAGCAACCACATTTTATTATTATATTTATTTATATCCCACCTCCTTCCCAGACAGGGACTCAAGGTGTCTTACAGATAAAACAGAAGCAGCTAAAAACCTAGAGAGAGAGAAACAATAATTAAAAAGCCATTAAGTACTAATTAGAATTAAAACTCTGTGTGTGTGCTATTAAAACATACAGGTAATTAAAATGAAACTTGCATAGCACCAGCTCCCTCATTAAAAACAGTCAGTTCCCAAAAGCCTGTTGGAACAAGAGAGTCTTCACCTGCCAGCGGAAGGAGAGCAAGGAGGAAGCCAGTCTGGCTTCCCCAGGGAGGGAGGTCCTAAGTTGGCTGGGAGGAGCCGCCACCGAGAAGGCCCTGTCTGAGAGGGTGGTGGGACTGGGAGAAGGGCCTCCCCACAAGATCTCAGAGCCTGGGCAAGTGCTTTCTCCAACGTAGCATTTTTATTCCTGCTTTACCCTGGCAGATGCCTTTTTGTAAAAAGCGGTTTGGTTGTCCCTGCGAAATTCAGAGGAGTGTGAATCTCAAAGGACAGCTGTGCTTCGTTGGGCGCGTTGTTTTGGAAGGTACAGATCAGCTAGATTCGGGTTCGAATGCAGACTGAATTGGATTTCCCCACCGTCCCTGGTCTGGCAGGAGACCCATCCTTGATTGATCACTGTTGCTAAAGACTCCGACTGTGCAGTTCTATGGATTCTATTGGAAAATTTAGTACTTAAAGAAGCACTTTCCCCAATGTTTGATGTCTGGAGAGGAGAATGGGGGTGGGCTTCCCTGCAGGAATGTTTCCAGAGTTCTATTTTACCAAACTGAGGTTCCCGTGTGCATTTTTCTGGCCATTTTTTCTTCAAAATTACCTTTTGGCACCCTGTGTGGGTGGTGACCTAAACGGCCGCTGTCGTGGGAACGGCATCACTGCTTCCTCCCATCTACTTAAAATTAGTTCTGATTGGCTATATTTAGTCCCCAGCGCTCAATAAGACACAACAGGACCTGAAGAGGGTTTTTTAAAAAAGCAGTGATTTGGAACCCACCGCCGGAAATGGAGCTGTTTGATTTGCAACAGATTTGTATATTTCAGGCCATAGAATTGTAGAGCTGGACTGGATACCCAGGGCTCATCTAGTCCAGCCCCCCACAATACGGGAATCACAGCTAAGAGAGAGATGTTGTGTGCCAGCTGCCCTGTGGTGCTGTGTTTCTACTTGCGATGAGTTTTCCCCGCTTTGGGGATCATGGAAGAAGAAAAGTCACTCACCCCCTGCTGTGGTACAGCCCCTTCTTGTCACCCTAAGGCTGTACCAGGACACAACAGATGGTTGTTTGTTTGTGATACTCTTAATGTTTGTATAATTGTTTATTTTTCTTTCTAATTGCTTTGCTCATTTGCTGCCTTGGGTCAGCTTTGGGAGGAAGGGCGAGAGAGAAGTTTAAAATAATAATTTTCAGATTTTGCAAAGGCTCCATCACAAATGCTGCAAGAGGGGCTGTTAACTGCAAGTCAGAAAAAAACCCTTTATTCAAGATTTATAATTGCTACATGTCAGGCCCTGAGTGCAGATCTCTACAGGAAGGGCTAGAGGACAACGATCAAGTGTCTGAGACTAGATGGAGGCTGCAGAGATGTTCTGCTGAAAGAATCACAACAGATAAAGGAAAGCAATTTTCCACACAGCGCAACGTTAAACTGTGGAACTCACTGCTGCAGGAAGCAGCGACAGCCAACTTGGACGGCTTTTAAGAAGGATTGGACTAATTCATGGAGGAGAGGGCTGTCGATGGCTGCTAGCCGCAGTGGTGATGCGCTGTCTCCAGCCAGTCTCTTCGCTTGTTCCTATGGAGCCTCCCAGTCCAGGGGCAGTCTATCTGGCTCCCCAGGTTTTTTGGGGTATTTGGCCACTGCGAGAACAGCATGCTGGACTGGGTGGGACATGGGCCTGATCCAACAGACCCTTCTTATGGTATTTTAATGCTCTGACAAACGGTCCTGCCCCTCCCCCCCCCAGCTTGTAAAGGCAAAATGCCACCCCACGCTTTCCATTTTCACTAAAAGTCCGGTTTTGGGGAAGGAAGTGTCTTTACAAGAAGTCCATGTTAAATTGGGCAACCTGATTTTGCAGTACGTGATTGAAACCTGCAAAAAAACCCCAAAGGCAATCTGGAAGTTCCCTCTTTATTTTTATTTTTTTTATAATATTTATTAAGGGTTTAATAGTTACAGAATAAAGAAAGAAAAACAAACAAAAAACAATAAAGGATTCACAATACATCAAAAATAAAAGAAAAAAACTAAAAACAACACAGCAAAACAACAAGAGAAACAAAAACATTTAAAAACACATCCAGTATCTCTATATCTCCACCTTTCATTTACTTATATCATCGACCTCCTCACACCTCCCTTTTTTGGATTCTTTTTCAATTAGCTATTTCAGCAAATCCTTTCCATCTTTCTTAATTTTTGTTCTATGATTTATCTTATCACAATCTAACCTTAAATTTTACACTTTTACCCATTAACAATCTATTTTTACTTAATTCTTTATAATATTTCTGCTAGAGCCATATAACTTCATTCCAGCATCCTTCTAACATTCATTAATTTTACAATATTTCTGTAAATAAACTGTAAATTTTTTCCACTCTTCTTCCACTGACTCTTCTCCCTGGTCTCGGATTCTGCCAGTCATTTCCGCCAACTCCATGTAGTCCATCACCTTCATCTGCCATTCTTCCCGGGTGGGTAGATCTTGTGTCTTCCAATACTTTGCGATGAGTATTCTTTCAGAAAGAAATGGACATTGATAAATTTTTGAAAATTAATGGACTACAAAAAATTTCCCAGGAAAATAAGTTAATGCTGAATTATAAAATAATGGAACAGGAAGTAGAAGGGGCCATTCAGAACATGCAACTGGGTAAATCCCCAGGACCGGATGGATTGACTTTTTATTAGGGCTGGGCAGGATCCGGTAACATCGTGATATATCAGCAGCTTAAATACCTCCGTATGCTGAGAAAACACAATGTCTGGAATGCATCTCGGCTGCTTCTTCCTCCCGATCTCTTAATTGTCTGAAACTGGCATCTCGATCTGAACGCCATACTGGTTTCAGACAATTTGTCAATATATAAACCCAGCTCTACAGTATGTGTGTGCGTAAAATCATACATTTTTATTTTCTTTACCCTACAAAGCTGCCTCCATCTGCCCCGAATTGCAATGGGCCGGAAAAAGATCCAGATTAGTCGGATTTTGGACCAAAGGAATCGGCAGGTAAGCACTTTTAAAAAAACAAAAGCGAAAACCATTTACAAAGAGGACTGTAGAGACGGGACCAAGGAGAGGAAGCCTCAGGCCCAAGGTCTGAATGTGGGCCCCCAAAGCTCTCTGCCCGGCCCTCGTGAATCTCCTTAGGCCACGCCTCCTCCATAGCCACGCCCCCTCTCCCAGCAGGGCTTCTTCAGCTGCAGCTCCTGCATTGTGTGGGGTTGGGATGGATGACCCCTGGGTGCCCCGTCCGACTCTGCGGTTCCGCCACTCTCCCCTTCCAGGTCACCTTCACCAAGAGGAAGTTTGGGCTCATGAAGAAGGCGTATGAGCTCAGCGTCCTGTGCGACTGCGAGATCGCCCTCATCATCTTCAACAGCGCCAACCGGCTCTTCCAGTACGCCAGCACGGACATGGACAAAGTGCTTCTCAAGTACACAGAGTATAGTGAGCCCCATGAAAGCCGGACCAACGCCGACATCCTGGAGGTAAAATGCATGTTTACCTATTCGCTTTTCATGGAATCCTAGAATTGCAGAGCTGCAAGGGATCCCCAGGGGTCATCTAGTCCAACCCCCTGCAATGCAGGGATTTGAAAGTTCTAAATGTTTTTCTGCCATTGTGTTTTAATGCTGCAGCCCACCCTGCGTGCTGTGTTCACTGACACCATCCACTTCAGTGCACCCTTTCCCCAAAATATATGCATTTTTGCAAACCTCGGTTGGGGTTGGGGTTTTGTACCATTCCGGAAAGGCCAGATTTGGTATGTTTTGGCTTTAAATGCAAACTGAACCGCTCACATTCCCTAGACTTAATGGAGAGAACAAACAGAGATATTGGAACGTTGCCAAACAGTGACGTCCTGGGCACCTTTTCACTTTATATCTCTTTGCATTTAATATATTACAGTGGTGCCCCGCAACACGAATGCCTCACAAGACGAAAAACTCGCTAGACGAAAGGGTTTTCCGTTTTTTGAGTCGTTCCGCAAGATGAATTTCCCTATGGGCTTGCTTCGCAAGATGAAACGTCTTGCGAGTTCTTGCGAGTTTGTTTCCTTTTTCTTAAAGCCGCTAAGCCGCTAATAGCCGTGCTTCGCAAGACGAAAAAACCGCAAGATGAAGAGACTCGCGGAACGGATTAATTTCGTCTTGCAAGGCACCACTGTATGTTATAACCTTGGAGGTCTGTTGGTTGGGCCGCTTCTTTTTTACTTACCGTAAGTGTGCATTGATTAAGGCACTGCAAAAAATCAAATCAAAGCAATATTGTGCATGCCATTCTATCGAGATACTTTTCCTGTTCTTGCTGTCTTATCCTTCTTGCACATTTGTGGGAACATCGTTTGCAATTGGGGTCAGTATTATTTATGGGGAGGGTTGGGCATTTCTCATGGGGGGGGATTGTTGCTGATTATTTGCCCCCCAACCCCAAAACTCCTTCTCTGTCGCCCACACTCCGTAGACCCTGAAAAGGAAGGGCTTGGGCATTGAAGGTCCCGACCTGGATCTGGAAGAAGCTCTGGAGCCAGCGAGGAAACTGAGGCGACTGGGCGAGGGTGTGGACCTCACTCTGGCCCAACCCAAGCTCTGTGTGAGTAACAGATTTTAGGGAGAGTACGGGCACAGGATTCAGACCATTGATATTGCCGACACTATCAGCTGCCTTCTGGGTTTCAGGCAACAGGCAATTCCTGCTCTGCCTGGAAATTTAAAAGCATTTCTGAACCACTACGTGCTTTAAATACTAGGTGCTAAGTTATACTCAGAGTAGAGCCCTTGAAATCAATAGACTTCCGTTCATCATTTGCTTCATTTTACTCTATTCCCCATCATGCATAAACCACTTGATTGTAAAGACAAACGCTAAGCACTTTACAAAAGCAAAGCGAAACATTAAAATGACCCCGAGCAAGAGGCTCTTAATCTCAGGGTCAAAAATAAAAAAAGGTTGGAATGGCCAATATATATGTGGCTTTTCTTCTTTAAGTCTTCAAAGTTCTTAACCAAGCTCAAGGTTGAACCAGCCAGATGTTTAACTGAGAATCAGTCACAGCCAGTGCATTATTTGAAAAATAAGACTTCAGGGCCATCTGGCCCCAAAATGGCAGGTAGGCTTTCTGTTTTGGCAACCGCAGCCTTGGTTTGAGGAGTCATTTGGCACCTAGCTTATATACCTGAGTTTCTAACAGTGCATGCAACAGTATTTATGGGTTTGTAAAAGCTGGACAATGCCTGGCTCCTTAAACCCAGAGCGCAGACTCACTTGGCCTCCAGAGCTGGCTGGTTGCAGGTGGGAGAACACCCCATCCACATATTCCCCGGGTTCCGAGTTCAAGAGGCAGCCACAATTCTCAGCACCACACCTTTCCTTGGCTAAAGCTCTTTGTTGCTCCATCTTCCTTTCAGTCTGCACCTTCCCTCTCCAGCCTGGAAGGGGGGTCGATGAGGACTCCCCCCTCTGGGAGCGAAGGTGGGGCGGGCGGCCCCCGGGAGTCCCCTCACCAGCAGAGCCACCTGCCAGCCCTCCCCAAGCACGCCACCCCTCCAGTGCGGTCTCCAACGCCCCTGGGAGCAGGTATGTTGCGACCGCAGCAAGAGACCTTCATGGGCTGGGATTGGGGTCTGGGGCGGGTGCTTCCGAAACTCACCTGGGCGCACCAGGACTTGGGTTCGAATTCTCACTCAACCATGATCTCACGGGTTGGTTGGTTGGTTGGTTGTTGGGATTGAAGGAGGGAGAGAACCACATACGACACCTTCAGCTCTGTGGAGGGAAAAGGGGGGATATAAATGCAATAAATCGACAAACAAACATTTCTAAATGTTTTAAATAGCTGTTCAACTGTTTTCACTAATGGTCTTGCTCTTTTTGTTTTGCACACTGCTTCAAGTTGCTGGGGTTTTGTATTTTTATTTTATTCTGTGAACTGCCGTGAGATCTTTTGATGAAGGGCAATATGTTGTTGTTGTTGTTTTTAGTTAATTAAAATCAAGCAGCATATAAATTCCATGAGATAAAAAAAGAATGTGGATCATGTGCTTTGATGTATTATTATTATTATTATTATTATTATTATTATTATTGCTAATTTTAATTATTTCCCCCCAATAATTTAAGTTGTTGTTCTTCCTGGTCTTTTCTTATTCTTTTTGTAAACTGTTCATTTAGAAATAAATTTTAAAAAGTTGTCCAGTAGCACCTTAGAGACCAACCAAGTTTGTTCTGGGTATAAGCTTTTGTGTGCATGCACACTTCTTCAGATACACATGCTCATTTAGAGTTCCTTTTCGCAACCAAGCGGTATATGAGTTTTACGAAATAGATAAAAAATGAAGCATGAAGGTTCTTGGGACTGGGAGCCCCTCACCTGTCTGCTTTTCTGCCCCTGCAGGGATGGGCTACCCTCTCTTCTCCCACGGCAACCTGGGCCGGGCGTTGTCCAGCAAGCCCCCTCCTCCGCTTTACCTGGGGGCTGACCCCCGTCGAGGGGAAGGAGCCCTGTCTGCTGGCAGGAGCCAGGTGGTGTCGGCCGTGAGTAGATCGTGGCTCATGAAGCCTCCGTCTCCTGGGTGGGGCGCTTTCTGGGGGTGCCAAGGCTGGGCATCTGCCTGCAGTGGGGCGGGGGAAAGGCAAGATAAGAATAATAGAATCGTAGACTTGGAAGGGACCCCGAGGGCCATCTAGTCCAACCCCCTGCAAGGCAGGAGTCTCAGCTCAAGCATCCAGGACAGATGGCCGTCCAACCTCTGCTGAAAATCCCCAAGCAGAGCCCACAACCTCCCAAGTGTGCATTGCGCTGTTCAACAGCTCTAATTAAACAATTAAACCCCCGTGTTGCAAACAATTATCAGTAATATCCAAGGCAACACGATGACCAAGTACAACAATGCAATATCAATATAAACTCTTTATATAATCTACACAGAACATTGAACAATATGAAAAACCAAATAAACAGAAATCTTATAAATCTCTGAAAGTCACAAAGTGTGTACTCTTGATAGATTTTCTTGAAAACGTAGAACCAAATAAACATAAGTCTTATAAGTCTCTGAAAGAAGCAATGGGTCAGATTCTTATCTGATGAAAACAAGCCGTAAAGCTTTGTTTTATGATATCCAATGCTGCCAAAGTGGTCCACAAACAGACGTGGTGAACAGTGATTCCGGATATACCCACTCTTTCGTAGAATTCTTCTTCAGCACAGCAGAAGGATACAGAAATGCTTCATAAACCCATCTATATGGTGAATGGCATTGTATAACAACAATATCTGTGGAACAGTGGTCATAAAATTATGTAACCACTGAATCTCCTTTCATGTAACTTGTAGCCATGGGTTCGAGTCCTGCCCTCCAGAGCAGGAGAAAATAAGCTGGCTCCCTCTTCTCAGTCTCCTCTTTCCCAGGCTAAACATCCCCAGCTCCTTCAACTGTTCCTCATCAGGCTTGGTTTCGACCCTTGATCATCTTGGTTGCCCTCCTCTGCACACCTTCCAGCTGGTCAACGTCCTTCTTAAACAGGTCTGCCCAGAACTGGACACTGGACTCCAGGTGTGGTCTGACCAAGGCAGAAGAGAGCAGGGCTGTTACTTCCCTTGATCTGGTCGCTAAACTACTGTGGATGCATCACCCTTTGGACAAGTGCAAACTCTTACATTTGTTCCTATTGATAAGCAAGGGGGCCACCACCTAATGAGTGCAGCCATTCGACATTTTCCACCTAGCCTCGCATTGTGTACACTAAGCTTCCCGTCCTCATGATTCCATGCTGCACGGGGTCAGACTAGATGACCCTCGGGTCCCTTCCAGCTCTACGGTTCTATGACTGATTTAATCTGAACCTAGGAAATTGTGTGCCTCGTGTTTCAGGCAGGGGGTGTTCCCTGCCCTGCCTGGAAGGGCATGCTCCACCCCACGGTGCTATGGGCCTTTTCCCCGTGGGGGACTTTGGTCTAACATTTCAGTGGTGCTCTGTGAGAGGCCCTGCAGTCCCTGCTGCAACTTTGACTGGCGTGACCACTGAGTGCCACACTCCTGTGACCCTGGATTATCTCCCCGCACAGCGTTCCTTGTACCCTGGACTTCAGAGCACGAGTCCCGCCTTGTCTGCAGGAAGCACCTGTCTCCCCGGGCACGGGCTGCCTGGCTACTACTCCCTCTCCTCTAGCCACCCAGGTAGGCTTTTGCTCAGCCAATCAGGCGTCATCTTGCTGAGGGCACTGGGGTGGGAACTGTGGAACTCCTGTCCTCAGGCTCAGACCTGTCCCCTAGTAATTTCGTTGTCCCCGAGAGGGGGCAATGACAATAAAGATATTATTATTATTATTATTATTATTATTATTATTATTATTATTATTAGTGAACTTCTGGGAACTGTAGTTTGTCACCTCCTTCCTGAGCCCTGTTGGGGCGCAGAGCAGGGTAAAGATAAAGGGACCCCTGACCATTAGGTCCAGTCGTGACCTTCTCTGGGGTTGTGGCGCTCATCTCGCTTTATTGGCCAAGGGAGCCAGCGTGCAGCTTCCGGGTCATGTGGCCAGCATGACTAAGCCGCTTCTGGCGAACCAGAGCAGCGCACGGAAACGCCGTTTACCTTCCCGTTGGAGCGGTACCTATTTATCTACTCGCACTTTGACGTGCTTTCAAACTGCTAGGTTGGCAGGAGCTGGGACTGAGCAATGGGAGCTCACCCCGTCGCGGGGATTTGAACCGCGACCTTCTGATTGGCAAGTCCTAGGCCCTGTGGTTTAACCCACAGCGCCACCCGCATCCCTGCAGAGTAGAGTAAGCCACCTTAAATATTTCACCCAGCTAGCTCAGTATTGCTTACACAGACTGGCAGCATCTCTCTGGGGATTCAGAGCTCCCCAGCCTCACCTGAAGAGACTGCCGGAAATAGAACCCAGGACTCTTTGTGCAAAGCCCTGAACTGCAACTCTTCCCTTCCTAGTGCTCATTGTTCTAAATCATGGGGAGGCAAACTAAGGCCCGGGGGCCGGATGCGGCCCAATCGCCTTCTAAATCCGGCCCGCGGATGGCCCAGGAATCAGCGTGTTTTTACATGAGTAGAAGATGTCCTTTTGTTTAAAATGCATCTCTGGGTTATTTGTGGGGCATAGGAATTCGTTCACACACACCCCCAAAAAAATATAGTCCGGCCCCCCACAAGGTCTGAGGGACAGTGGACCGGCCCCCTGCTGAAAAAGTTTACTGACCCCTGTTCTAAATAAATAAAGAACGGAGGGAGAGGGAGAGAGAGGGAGGGAGGAAGGAAGGAAGGAAGGAAGATTCAGAGCCAATTTGGAGAAAGGGGTTGGCCTGTAATTGTGGATATAATGGAGAAAACTCTATTCCAAAAGTTTTTAACGTGGGGGAATCCCCACCCAACAGGAATAAATGAACTCAGCTTTCCTCAGCCCTCCCAACATAAAGGGGAAAGGGAGGGATTAATTTTTGCCAGCCTGACTGCTAATGACCAAAATCAAGATCTTCTTTTACCGGCCACTCAATATTCTCCGTGGAGGGGTTGCGTTATGTAATACGTTTGAATGCTGAATGTGTGAAGTGTATGTCTAGAGTCAATGGATAAAACAAACACCATTTGAAGTTCTGCTGGATGCATGTTTAATGGTTATTGGATTTGGATTTGTTTAAAAACCAGTAACAGACCCTCCAAGTGTCCCTGTTTTCCAGGGACGGTCCTGGATTGACAGAAGCCACCCCGGTTTCTGATTTGATCCTGGAATGTCCCACTTTTCCTTAAAGGTAAAGGTAAAGGAACCCCTGACCATCCCTGTTTTCAATGGCAAAATGTTGAAGGCAATGGTAGGATGTCCCCATTATCCTCGGAGAAATGTTGGTGGGTATGGAATAGGGCACCTGTATTTTCATCAGATAAATGTTGGAGAATGTCCCTATTTTAATTGGATAAATGTTGGAGTGTATGCAATAAAATTTGGTTTAAAAGAAAAAGATTTCAGAGCAGATAATAGGAAGAGCCTTATTCACACATTTCATCGTTAAACTGTGGAACTCCCTGCCACAGGAGGTCGTGATGGGCACCAAGCTGAATGGCTTTAAAAGAGGATTGGACAGATTCATGGATAGGGAGAGCTACTGAGAGCTAATAGCCACAATGGCAATGCTCTGCCCCCAACGGCAGCGATGCTTCCGAACCCCAGTTGCTGGAAACCTCAAAGGAGAATGCTCTGGTGATCAAGCCCCGGTTGTGGGTTTTCCTTTGGAGGCCTTGACCGGCTGCTGTGAGGACAGGGTGCCGGGGCACTTCTGGTTGAAATGGAATTGAAATACTTTATTGTCACTTGTACAACTTGTATACAGTGAGATTACAGAGCACCCCCCACTCAGCTCTCTTAGTCTTAATTCCCCTCGTTTACTGACACACACGCACAAAACCCGAAAGTCCGTTGCCCTGTTGTTATCTTTTCACTCAGCAGCCTAACAGCCCACGAATAGAAGCTGTTCTTTACCCTGTTGGTGCGACTAATCCTGCTTCTATATCTTCTGCCCGAGGGCAGGAGGTCAAGAAAGTGCCGGCCAGGGTGTGAATCATCCCTGAGAATTTTCCTCACTCTCCTGAGGCAACGTTCTTCTGCAATGTCATCCAACAGATTCACGGGACAGCCCATAATATCTTGTGCTGTATTCACCACCCTCTGTAGGCACTTCCTATCAGTTGATGTCAAACCAGAGTACCACACCGTGATGCACTATGAAACGACACTTTCTATTGTGGACTGGTAGAAGGAGAACAGGGACGCGGGTGGCGCTGTGGGTAAAACCTCAGTGCCTAGGACTTGCCGATCGCATGGTTGGCGGTTCGAATCCCCGCAGCGGGGTGCGCTCCCACTGCTCGGTCCCAGCGCCTGCCAACCTAGCAGTTCGAAAGCACCCCCGGGTGCAAGTAGATAAATAGGGACCGCTTACCAGCGGGAAGGTAAATGGCGTTCCGTGTGCTGTGCTGGCTCGCCAGATGCAGCTTGTCACGCTGGCCACGTGACCCGGAAGTGTCTTCGGACGGCGCCGGTTCACGGCCTCTAGAGCAGGGGTGTCAAACTCAAATTCATCGGGGGCCGCATCAGCAGTTTGGTCACCCTCAAAGGGCCGGTTGTATCTGTAGGACTATGTGTCCATGTAAAGTGGAGGTTTCCTGTGTAGAACAGCCGGCGCCGCTAGAGGGCAGACGTTCTCTGGCTTGTAGGCTGCCGCGCATGCGCTGAAGAGGCGGCTTTCTTGGGTCAAAAAAAAAAAAAGTGAGAATAAAAGGTGAAGGCTGGCGGCCGGCGGCAGCTACACGGGCCACATGACGAGGTCTGGCGGGCCGGATTCGGCCCGCGGGCCTCGTGTTTGACACCCGTGATCTAGAGCGAGATGAGCACGCAACCCTAGAGTTGGACATGACTGGCCCGTACGGGCAGGGGTACCTTTACCTTTACCTAGAAGGAGAACATCAAATGTTGATTGACATCGTTCTGGTGGTCTTAAGGAGAGAAAGGGAGGGGTGCGCAGCAGCAGCAGCAGCCCACAGCCCAAAATGCTACCCCCTCCGCTAGCCCCAGGAGGTTTCATGTCCCAGCTGAGATCACAGTTGCTTCCCTGCCCGTCTCCAGAGACCCTCAAATCCTGATGGTCTTCTTCTTTCCCCATCATCTGTCCTGCAGAGTTTGCCCCTGGTGACGGACCTTCTTCGCACGCCTTCAGCCTGCAGGCGAGCGCAGTGTCCACTTGGCCGCACCGAGAGATGTCCGTTGCCTCCCACCCAGCACTGGGGTAAGAGAGACCGGGGGGGGGGGGGTCCTTAGCCTGGGAGCAAGCGCCTAGGCAGCCACCTACCTACAACCTCCAAACATGCCTGGAAGTGCGAGTGTGTGTAACAGAGATAAGCCGTGGGGTTATAGCCTGCTGAAGAGTCATTTACTTCATTCATTTATTGAAGATATTTATACATACTGCTACTCATAACAAGAAATCAGAGTGCCGCCCACGGCTGTGTGTTTTCAAATTTCCTTTTTGTGTAACATATATAAAGCAGAGAGAACGATGACAACAGCAAACAAAAATCAAGAGGGTGAAGGCAAAACTGTAAAATAGGCACGCAGGATGAGCACTGTTGAGTGTGGATTATAGTAGCAATGTCCGAGTAAAGGATATTAGTGTTGACTGATCATAAAATTATCAAGTTGGAAGGGACCCCCAGGGGCCATGTAGTCCAACCCCACTATGCACCAGAGTTCCAGATTTGCCAGGCTTGCAGCAAACATTGTCTTGAGGAATGATGCTCCTGCTGGATATGTCAGAAAGGAAAGCCCAGCCGTGTGAAAAGTGCCTGGAGGTTCTAGCCATGTTGAAATCTCAAATTGCGCCTCATGTTCTCCAATCTAGCCGTTTCCCAGAGTGAGTGGCGATTAGTGTCCAGCATAAGATTTGGGGCTGTTTTCCATTGAGCTATTTGTTCCACCAAGATAATAGACAAGACCAGTCCTTTTCTCCCCCCCCCATAGCTTTGATTAAAGTTTGAAAAATATATATGCAAAGGTTAATATTAAACATCTGATATCTTTTTATCAAAGTCAAAGAAAGTAATGTAAACAAACTCAAAGGACATGGGTGGGAGGGAAAGGAAACGGGGGAGGAAAAGAGAGAGTTTTTTGGGGGGAGATGACTCTGCAATTCAGTGAGAAATTTAGGAATACCCCTGGACCAACGAAATGTGGAAGTCTACCACAGGTAAAGTTCTCAAAACGCCTCTGTGAGCCTGGCTAGCTCATCTGCTTAGACCATGTTGCTGATAACGCCAAGGTTGCAGGTTCAATATCCGTAAGGGACAGCTGCACATTCCTGCATTGAAGCTGGTTGGGCTAGATGACCCTCAAGGTCCCTTCCAACTCTGCAATTCTGATTCTATGATCTCAAGCATGCAAAAAACCGACCTCTCCGTTCCCTCTCAGTGAGACAGGAGTTCCCTCTTGGGCGAGGTTTTGCTGCCACCTTGTGGCACTTTTGTTCAACGATGCCTTTGAGGATGCCTGTTTCTGCATCCTCATTTTCTAAGCTTTGATTTGGTACAAATCAAAGAGTCAGTTCTCAGCGACATCCCTTGAGATTTATGTGTGTCTTTGGAGCTATTTGCGCGTTTGAGGATGGGAGCTGAAGCTGCAGGCTTGGGGGGGGCAGCACCCAGAAGCTTTCATCCAGCCAAGTTTCACTCCTGAGTAAGGTAAAGGTAAAGGTAAGGGACCCCTGACCATTAGGTCCAGTCATGACCAACTCTGGGGTTGCAGCGCTCATCTCGCTTTATTGGCCGAGGGAGCCGGCGTACATCTTCTGGGTCATGTGGCCAGCATGACTAAGCCACGTCTGGCGAACCAGAGCAGCGCACGGAAACACCGTTTACCTTCCCGCCGGGGCGGTGCCTATTTATCTACTTGCACTTTGACGTGCTTTCAAACTGCTAGGTTGGCAGGAGCAGGGACCAAGCAACAGGAGCTCACCCCGTCACGGGGATTCGAACCGCCGACCTTCTGATCGGCAAGTCCTAGGCTCTGTGGTTTAACCCACAGCGCCACCTGCATCCCTCACTTCACTCTGAGTACCCTCCCTGAAATGAGCAGGCCGAAGCTATTCATCTCTGCCCATGTGCTCTGATTAGAACCAAGAATGGAAACCAACCCTTTGCTGCCAGGCCCAATCGTCAGTGCCCATTAGCCACGAAAGCTGCAGGGGAGCCTCCATGTGCAAGAGCAGTCTACCCCAGAACATACGGTTCTTAGGGACCAGCAATCCAGAAAGCCAACAGAAGAAGTTCTTGGAAAACAGTTCTTTAAATCTGGAGATGATACAAGGTGTTTTGCTTGCCTTCCAAATAAGAATGTTGGGAACGGCTATCATTTCCCTTTCTCTTTTTTTTGTATTCCCTGCAGAGCAATGGGTCGAATTGGTGATCAGCCTGCGCTCGTCTCTGGCTCGCCTCCCCTGCGCCCGCCCATCAGTGTCAAGTCCGAACGGGCTTCCCCGACGGCCCCATGTGCCTCGACTGGCCCCCAGGCCTCTCAGTGCGCCCGCCCTTCGCTTGCTAATGTCCCCATGGACCTACACTCCCGAGACGACTACGTCAAGGCTTACCATTACTCTCTCCTCCTCTCCCGCCCTCTGGCAGACGAGCAGAGGCACCCCGGCGTCCCCACACGTCGCCCACAACCTGCCATGGATGAGTGGCAGAGATAGTGGCATGCTCAGCATGTTCACATGTACGGATGGAGCCAGGGAGAATCTGCCTGAATGTGGTTGTGTGAATGTGCGAGAGCAGACTTTCTGTGGCCTTGAGCGTTCACAGGGAGTTTTCTCCAAGGAGTTGAGGGAGCAAATTATCCCAGATTTGGGGGAGCAGGCTAGTTTCTCACACGCAGTGGGTTGTTTAGCCAATGATATTCTACACAGAGTAGACCCATTGGCATTAATACAAATAAGTAATTAATTTTAATTGCAAGGGGTTTCAGCCAATGTTAGTCCTCCTCAGAACAGATCCTCTGAAATGAATCAATATGCATAGCTGTTAACGTTTCCCTTTTTTAAAGGGAAATCCCCTTATTCCGAATAGGATTCCTCGCAAGAAAAGGGAAAAGTTGACAGCTATGTGATATGGCTCACTTTGTTCTATGAATTGCAGGGGTCGACTCTGTGTAGGAAGTGCTTGGATGAAAACCCAGTGGATTTACTCTGAGTAGCCTGGACATTTTCCCTCTTATCTCAGCTCTGGCAAACGTTAGAAGCGTGCTCCCAATTTTAAAATGAAAGCTGGGAATTTGGAGGTTACAGCTGATGGGGGGACGTCACTTTCCCCTCCTTGCACCCATAGGTGGGGCAATTTGGGAAAGCAACTGAAAGAAAAGATGGGATCGTTGTTTCCCCACTGCCTGTTTCATCTAAATCTCCAGAGATTTGGGAGGAAAGTCCCCCCTCAAAAAAAATAAAAAGGGATTGACAGCAGATTTCAGGATTTATAAAAGCAGATTATTTCACCCCGTTGTGTATAAATCACTTGCGGAATTACTGGCAGCAAGCTCTGGCGAGGTCCCCTGGCTTAGAAAAATGGTTGAGAGGAAATCCACAAAGGAGAAGGACTATCACTGGCAGCTAAAATGGAACCTCACTGTGCAAGGGCAGTATACCTCAGAATACCTTTGGTAAGTTTTCTTGTTTTTGAGATAAGAGGGAGAAGACCAGGGAGCCAGGAGGGGAATCCTCGAATCAGGGCCAGTTTGCAACACGGCGAAGAGATTGCACCCATCCCAAAAGTAAATAAATAAATGACTGAAGATGTAAATCTTGAACATTGCAGGTGTGTCCTGCATTGGAGTCTGTGGATGTAGTAAATAAACAAACAAATGTCTTGTGCTGTGGGGAGAAACACAGGTAAGCCCCACCCCACATAATCACATGACGCAGCAGGCACACACTTTTTGGATGGCAATTCACGTCAACTTTGGGGGTGGGCAGACCCCCCAAATATTGGGGGGGGGCATCGAAGGGACCTTGGCCCCTAGGTGTTGGCTCCTGTGCACAGAAGACAAAATCAGGCTTGACTATTACCTTCACAGACCTGGGTAAAAAGTAGCAACATGAGTTTCAACAGGGATAAATGTAAGGTTCTTCACTTAGGCTGGAAGAAACCAGATGCACAATATAAAATGGGGACAGGTGGATTGCGAGTCGTATAAGGGAAAAGGATCTTGGAGTCCACAGTGTGTTGCAGCAGCAAAAAAAGCTAACACCATTCTAGGCTGCATCCAGAGAAGTCTAGCATCCAGATCAAGGAAATCATAGTCCCACTCTGTTCTGCCTTGGTGAGACCACACCTGGAGTCCAGTGTCCAGTTCTGGGCACCACAATTTAAGAAGGATGTTGGCAAGCTGGAAGGTGGGCAGAGGAGGGAGACCAAGATGATCCAGGGTCTGGAAACTCAGCCTGCTTTCAAAGGAAGCAATCAACACCAAAAATGCAATTATTGAAAATCTTGTTGTAAACCTCTTTGAGGTTTATTTAAAACAATAAAGAGGTGTGTAAATGTTATGAAATCAATTCCACCCCCTAAGAAAAAAACGTGGCTAGAAGGGGGATACTTTGGGGGGAAATAATCCTGGGGTGCACGCCTGGAGAAATGACAAAGAGGAGAGGGAATTCGACCAGCCAATTGCCTTGAATAATAGCGGGGCATCTCCTGTTTTCTAGAGAGGGTTTGCTGATTGCCATGCTATCATTAGCATATATGCAAATTGGGCCATTCCTAGACTGCACAATTCTTAGCTGGGGGTTGTTTGCTGAAGTCTGGGTTTGCTATGGCAACCGGCTGGTTTTGAATAGAACCAAAGAGAGGTTCACAGCCAGTGTGTGTGTGTGTGTGTGTGTGTGTGTGTGTAAGAGGAACTGTGAGGTTGAAACCCTATTCGAACAACAATTTCTGCATAAATGCACTACATCGAAGCTAAATCTTGCTATCGGTACTTCGTCTCTGGTTTGTTTTGTTTTTAATTTTAAATGATACCAAATCTGGAACATAAAAAGCTGGTTTCCATTCTGAGTCAGGCCATTGGTCCAGCTGGCTTAGTATGGCCTGCACTGACTGGAAGCAACTCCTTGGAGCTGTGGAGGGGACCCTTTCCGCAGGCCAGCCTGGAGTTTAAAAAGTGGATTTCCCCCTAAACATTAGGAAGGACTTTCTGCTAGTGCGATCTGTTCCACAGTAGAATGGAAGGTGGAGAACTCTCTGCTACTGGATATTTTTTAACCAGAAGCTAAAGGTACCCCTGCCCGTACGGGCCAGTCTTGCCAGACTCTAGGGTTGTGCGCTCATCTCACTCTAGAGGCCGGGGGCCAGCGCTGTCCGCAGACACTTCCGGGTCACGTGGCCAGCGTGACAAAGCTGCATCTGGTGAGCTAGCGCAGCACACGGAAACGCCGTTTACCTTCCCGCTAGTAAGCGGTCCCTATTTATCTACTTGCACCCGGGGGTGCTTTCGAACTGCTAGGTTGGCAGGCGCTGGGACCGAGCAACGGGAGTGCACCCCGCCGCGGGGATTCGAACCGCCGACCTAGGTGCTGAGGTTTTACCCACAGCGCCACCCGCGTCCCTAACCAGAAGCTAAAGATTCCCTAAATCTGTTGTGGGTTGGACCCTTTGGGGATCCTCTAACCTTTCTTCTCCATTTCCAGATTTGCTCCATTAAAACACCTACAATTAACCAGCCAGAGTGTCTTTAACCGGCAAACAGCCCTGGTAGAATTTTTTTAATTATCATTTGTTTTGTTTTTGTTGTGGCTGAACTGAATGCAAAAGGAAAGTTGGCAGATTTGAGGGTTTTAAATATGATCAAACAATTTATATTGTCAACAAAAAAATGGGTGGAAGCCCTCTGGTACCCTAACCACTGAATACAATTGACATTTTGTTTTTTAAAGAATATGTTGCTAGTCTACATTGTCAGCATCTTAAGATAATGAACATAACGAGACGTTGTCACAGCAGCAAAAGAGCTCAAGTCTAATTAGAACCAGCATGGTTAGAGTTTTGGACTAGGACCTGGGTGGCCATAAAGCTCTGTGGGTGACTTCTCAGCCGAGCCTCCGTCTCAGGGGTTGTGAGGATTAAATGGAGAGGGGGAGAATCCTGTACGCGCCACCTTGAGCTCTCTGGAAGACAGGTGGGGAACGTTGTTGGCATCTGCCTGTCTTGAGAGACAATGGAGTGTGCCTCCAGGGATGAAGTCAAACAACTGTGTTAGCAAGACCAAAGTGAGTGGCCTCCCCAGAGCACAAGCCTGGGCCGTGTGTCTGGGGGTCCTGGGCTGCCCGATGACAAGACCCGAAGGAAAGCAGAGCAAGACGTTGGGCACCAGCTTGGCTGCAGGAGTTGCCAGAAGGAAACGTACAAGACACCCTCCAACCGCCTTAGGGACCCCAGTCTGGATTTGTGTAGGGTTTAATGCAGGGGTCAGCAAACTATTTCAGCAGGGGGCTGGTCCACTGTCCCTCAGACCTTGTGGGGGGCCAGGCTATATTTTGTGGGGGGGATGAATGAATTCCTGTGCCCCACAAATAACCCAGAGATGCATTTTAAATCCAGTGGTACCTCGGGTTAAGAACTTGATTTGTTCCAGAGGTCCATTCTTAACCTGAAACTGTTCTTAACCTGAAGCACCACTTTAGCTAATGGGGCCTCCCGCTGCTGCCACGCGATTTGTGTTCTCATCCTGAGGTAAAGTTCTTAACCCGAGGTACTATTTCTGGGTTAGTGGAGTCTGTAACCTGAAGCATCTGTAACCCGAGGTACCACTCTAAAAGTACACACTCTACTCATGCAAAAACACCAGGAATGCCCCACAAATAACCCAGAGATGCATTTTAAATAAAAGGACACATTCTACTCATGTAAAAACACGCTGATTCCCAGACTGTCTGCAGCCTGGATTTAGAAGGCGATTGGGCTGCATCTGGCCCCCAGGCCTCAGTTTGCCTACCCATGGTTTAATCCTTGGCCTTTGCTTCCCTGAAGAGATCCCACAAGGCAGTGGAGGTTTAGTATCAGAGTTTTCCTTCTCCTGGGTGGGCTGCCTTCCCAGTGGACGAGCCCCACCTGCCCCTCACTCCCCTCTATAGCACATGCAGAAACCGCCTTCTTGACCACTGGACTCCCTCTTGGTCTTGTCCCTCCTTTGGAGCCTGGCTTCGCATTCAGGGGAAGCCCCTGACTCACTGCGGGTCAGAGACCCATTGGATCCCCTCACCTGATTTAGCGAGCCAATTGAAGCTGCTCCCAGGATTGTGGCCGCTGTCACCTACTGACGGCGTCTGGGAGCCACAGGTGAGAGTTGGGTGCAGGTGGGGACCAAAGGTGGGGAAATGACCCCAGAAGGAAGACAATGTGTTCCCCCCTGGGGTACTACCGTTCCCCTAACACCCCATACACCCTGGTTGGAAATAAGTGTTCTAATAAAATAGGAATTCCCTTTGAGACTTTCTAACCAAACTCAATGCAATATTGGAGTGAATTAAGACAAAACCAGCTTGGACCAATGTCCCTTCATCCCACTAGAGGTCGCTGATTTCAACCAGTAATCTGAATTGGCCAGGGAAGGAGTGGGAGTTTTGCTGTGGATTACTAAATCATTTGAATATTTTAAGGCAGGTTGAGAGGTGAGGGGTCTTCTAGCCACCAATTGGGGGTAGGTGGGCTGCTTCTATGCAGATTTTAATGTCACCCCCCCCCCCTCTTTTCATCCATCAGCTGTGAATATATTGATCCAACTCCCTCTGTTTGGAATTCAAATTTTCTCAGTCAGTAGAATCTAGATACCAGACTTTTCAAGTCTTTTTAATTTGCTGATTTCTCAACCTTCCCCTTTTATTTTAAGCAACTTTGTTTCATTTGATGGTAAATTTTATTGCCACAGGCTGCATTATTGATCTTATAAAATCATAGAACTGCAGTTGGAAGGGACCTCCAGGGGTCATCCAGTCCAATCCCCTGCAATGCAGGAATCTCAGCTAAAGCAGCCCTGACAGATGACAATCCAACCTCTGCTTGAACACCTCCAAGGAAGAAAGGTCCACCTTCTCCCAAGGGAGTCTCCTCCTGTCAAAAGCCTGTTGAAAGTTCTTCCTGATGCTGAGTCAGAATCTGCCTCTCTTG